AAGTGTGTAAGCAAGGAAGACTTAGAATATTGCAGAGGAATAGATTGCTGTGTGGGTCATGAAATAGAAGGGGTAGATGGAGACACATTAGTTTCCATCGTGGGTGTTGTCTCCGCCATATAGCTGGAGATAGCACCTAATGTCTCAGTTGATAAGGAAGCCAACGATGCCATGTCAGAGACAGGAGAGGCATTGCAAGTAAAGGTCGGAGTAACTATGAAAGCAATCAAAGAGGTCTGAGGAGGGCAGGGAATATGAGCCTGGAGAGATATGTTGACTGGGGGAGAAGAGTCTTGCAGTGTATCTGGAGAGGAAGGAGGTTGGAGGGCATAGTAACTATGGAAGAAGATAGGGAGGAACAGGGGAAGAGGGAACTACATGGGATGGGGGGTGAGAGCTGGAAAGGGGGTGAGAACTAGTCTCCGAGGTAGAAGACAGATTCTGTACAGGAGAAGGAAAGTGTAGGTCTGCGAGGTCTAGTAGACTAAGAAGTGAGCGAGCGAGATAAAGAAGTAGAAATAGAAAGTGGTGCGGAGGTAGGAGTGTCAGAGGATAAAACTGTAAAAGCATAAAAAACTGGGGTGACCCCGGGTGACACGGATGCAAAGGGATTGGGAGGTGGGAGAACTGTCGAGGTTGGAGGTCTACGGGCTACTCAAGCATACGGGACACGAGGAAGTTTTCCTTGAAGGTGGAGCTGAGAGACTGCCATAGTGTAAGGCCCTTGCACTCTAAGGTAACGGATCTCTCGTTCATTATGACAGACCTGGTGATGGCAGGAAAAGGAAGAAGGAGGTTCCTTGCAATTGAGACATGAGAGGAGAGGGAAGACTACAAGATGTATTGGAATGATCCGCTGCACCGCAGATCGGGCATTCTGTCACAGATCTGCAGCATTTAGCGGGATGCCCAAAATGTCAGCATTTACAACACTGTTAGGGAGTGGGAACTACTTGATGGACCTTTAATTAATGGCCCGCAATACAGAGGACGGAAGTTCACGGCAGTTGAAGGTTAAACAAGCAGTGTTTCTAGGAAAGTGCCTCTGCCCATGAGCGGGCAGGATGTATCTACCTTAAGAATAGGTAGGTTTTGAAGGACTAATTGTTCCAAAATATCATCACCGCAAGACAAAAAATCACTCTGTACAATGGTGCATGGTAGAACCACAGTATCACTGCAAGAATTAAGAGTAGCGTGCTTACGGAAGGTGACTGATATGTTATCAATGGAAGAGATGTGGGAAAGAGCATGCACTTGCTCAGAATTCTGTAGTTATGACACGCACACCACTTCAAAGAGTGTGGAAAGCTATATTTTGGCCAATGTGCCTTAAAAGATTATTATAATCAAAAGAGAAACACTAAACCACAAGGGTTATACAGCACTCCAGGGCAGGGAAGGATGTGAGGGTATTGGGTAGCAAGAGGGAGAGGGATGATTATTAGGGTATGGAGTACAGTGGGGCAGTGGATAGTGCAGGGGTAGAGGGTAGCAAGAGATTAAGGTAGAAAGGACTGAGGGGAGTCCTAAAGGTATCATCATCAGAGTTTGTGGAGCAAATCAGTTGCTGTCCAGAAGTCAATGAGAGTCCGGATTAAAGGAGGGTCCATCAACAAGAAGGGAAGGTAAAGAAAGGGCAGCAGAGTGGAGACGACGTTGGGAGTGAGGAGTTTCTTACCGTGAGGCATGGTAAACAAGGTATACTGAAATGGCGTTCCCACAAAGCAATGCGGGTGCCCCGAATTTATTCATACTGCGCACGCTTAGCATGCAGACCCATTCCCTCACATATAGGCCTACCAGCTTTCTCTCGCTAGATCTGAAGCCACTAGAATTTTGGTGTAGTATTACAGGACCAACACTGGAAGGTTTAAACAGTTGGCAGAAAACAATATCAATGTTATCCAGTAGCCAGGAAAAAGTCCTGACATGAATCCCATTGTAAACTGTAGGAATAAAACGAAAGCAAAACTACCGAAAACATCATCAGTAGCACATTTAACTAAGATATAAACCTGATTTACTTTAAAACAAACTTACTGATACTATACATAACTGTTGGAAATTGATAATCCTATAACATGGAAGCATGAACAAACATTAAAAGGTAAGTAAAATTACTTTTTTCTTACTCTTTGTCTTATGTTACTAGAAACTCCTTTGTAATGTGTCAGAGGCTCAGCATCACATGCAAAGTCAGTAATACATACACATGTATTAGTACCATATATTATTATTATTATTATAATCAAAAAGAAGCACTAAGCCACAAGGACTATACAGTGCTGCAGGGCAGGAAGGAAGCGAGGGCATCAGGTGGAAAAAGGGAGATGGACGAGTAATAGGTTACGGATAACAGCGGGGTAGTGGATAGTGAAAGGGTAAAGGGCAGCAAGAGACTGAACTAGAAAGGGCTGAGGGGAGTGCAAAAAGTATCATCAGAGTTTGTGGAGTAAATCAGTCGTTGTCAAGAAGTCAATGAGAGAGTGAGGATTAAAGGAGGGTCCATCAGCAAGAAGGGAAGGTAAAGAGAGAGTAGTAGAACGAAGACGACGTTGGAGGTAAATTCTGCGTGCTCGTTGATAGAGAGGGCAGTCTAACAGAATGTGGCTAATCGATACTGGAACTTGACACTGCTCACAGAGAGGAACAGGGTGCCTCTCCATGAGATACCCATGAGTAAGACGAGTGTGGCCAATGCGAAGGCGGGAGAGAGTGGTCTCCCAACCTCGGCACTGATGACAAGAAGACGGCCAGTAACCTATGCTCGGTTTAACCCTTTGACTGTTTCCGACGTATAAATACGTCTTACGAGCCAATGTTTCTGACGTATTTATACGCATAAATTCTAGCAGCTTCAAATCAAGCAGGAGAAAGCTGGTAGGCCCACATGTGAGAGAATGGGTCTCCATGGTCAGTGTGCACCATATAAAAAAAATCGGGGAGCCAGTGGTGCATTGTGGGAATGCCATTTCAGTTGTCCTTTTTCAGCATGTCTAGCGGTAAGAAATATGTGATTCCCCAGCAAATCTGGGACTCTTCTCTTCCCAAGTGATGCTCTAACACAGATGGAAGTGTCAGTGAAGATCAATTTCATGATTTGGAGGAGTTTGAGACCAAAAGCAATGGAGGAGGAGGAGGGGGAGGAGGGGAGGAGGAGGAGGAGGAGGAGGAGAAGAGGAGGAGGAGGAGGAGGAAGAAGAAGATGTAATAATATTGTTCCCTTGAAGCAAGAAAAAAAAAAGTCCACCCCATGACAGTGACAAGATAAGGGGAGATAACAACTGATAAGAGCTGACTTTGATGAGCGTAAAGGAGGGTAATATTACATGACCATTGCCCTCCCTTTGTTTTTGCTGGTACACAAACATTTGTCTGTCTGTCTATTTGTCTGTCAAGCTCCCTGTCTGTCCATCTAGCTGTCTCAGAGAGAGCCACAAGACTGTGTCATCACGTTTACTCACATCTTCAAGCAGAGTATAGCACTTTGTCTGGATTTCTTGGGTTATCCTAGGTAATTTACACTATGTATACTTGTATTTATGTGTACCTGTGAGACAGAGATAGGCAGTCAGATAGAAAGAGAGACAGATTGAAAGATATAGAATGAGGGAGAAAGATAATTAGATAGAATGGAGGAGGGGAAGCAGCATCCGACCCCATTGTTTTGACAGGCGGTAGGGGTAGTGACTAATGAGACAATATGTCACTTTGACAGCTGCCGACTTCTGACTCAAAACAATTATAAGCCACACGCTGTTGCCATACGCGGCTCATTTTCTGCAAACTTCACGGCTCTATATCTCGGTAAGTACCGATGGCAAAAATTTTTTTTGGGGACTAAAACACTCAGAAAAATAATCTTAACATTTTCATAAGAAAAAAAAATTTTTTTTTTTTTTTGAATATTTGGCGACATAGAATGACAGTTTCAGAGAGGGGCCTGAAACAGTCAAAGGGTTAATAGAATGAAGTTTGTTACCGAGCAGAGTTGACCAACGTTGTTGCCAACGGGTGCGAAGGTGGGTAGCTATTGCAGCAAAATAGTCCAGAAATGGAACACCTCTATAGGAAATTGGTAGGTCATGTACTGCTGACCGCGCAGCAGTGTCTGCCTGTTCATTGCCCTGTACGTCGACATGACCAGGGACCCAACAAAAAACAATATCTTTATGTTTGGTAGAGATACGGCGTAGCCAAAGTTGGATACGGAGAACTAGGGGGCGAGATGTATCAAATTTTCGTTTAGCCTGTAGAGCACTAAGGGAGTCTGAGACTACCACAAATGATAACACAGGCATAGATGCGATATGAATAAGTGCTGCAAGAATGGCATACAATTCAGCAGTAAAAATGCTAGCCGAAGATAGTAAATGCCCCCGCACGACGCTGTCCAGAAACACTGCTGCGAATCCGATGCCGTCTGAAGACTTAGAGCCACGTCTGAAGACTTAGAGCCATCTGTGTACACAGCGGTGGCATGAGAATGGGAGTGGAAGTGATCAAGAAAAAGAGAGCGGGAAGCCACCGTAGGCAGTTGAGCTTTCGAGCAAGGGAGTGAGAAAGAACAGACCCGAACAGCTGGAATTTCCCAGGGGGGTAGGGAAAAGTGAGATGCTACATGAACATATAAAGGTGGTAACTGAAGGGAAGACAAGAGTGAATGTAGGCGAAGAGAAAAGGGACGGAGCAAACAGGGGCGGCGAACAAATAAAGAATGTCTACTAATATCAGTGACCATTCTATAAATGGAAGGATTGTGGAGATCGTGAGAGCGTACATAGTAGCGAAGGCAATGGGCATCATGGCAATCAGACAAGGATGGAACATTCGCTTCTGCATAGAGGATTAGTGCCATATAATGCTCTACACATTCTCTACTTGAAATTTATGCTTTTGAAACTTGGCCTACAAATTTTTCTTAAAACAAAACTGTGTCATATTTGGGATTATGCTTCAAAGTATAAAAGATTATCAAGGATCTTAATGAAAAAATATTGCAGACACACCTGGTATATTTATTTTATATTAATGATGAAGAAGTAAACTAACTAGGGTCATACAGTGCCAAGGGAATGGCAGACAACCAGATTCAATCTGAGGAAAGGAAGGTAATGAAATTTTCTTGGAAAAAGGCTCTTCACAGGCATCAAAACACCTGTTGTGAAGTGTCACCAATTAGCAAAAGCTTCTAAGACTACTACTACATTAATGACACCAAGAAAAGTTTTCTTGACTGAATACTGCCAAGTTAACAACAGCAAGAAAAGAAAAGCTTTCTAGAAAGAATATTGCTAATTTAAAAAGACCAAGAAAAGCTTTCTTGATTGAATATGGCTAATTTAAGAACACCAAGAAAACTTTTTTGAATGAATACTCACATGTAATGCTAATTTAAATTTCTGTAAATGAATATTCAGAGATTTGAAAGACTCAGTTTTATCTCCAAGTAATTATCAAACATGTTGCTATCACATATGATGCTGCCATCACATATTATAATGTCTTCTAATCACACTGTCCCTTGACAACATTTCCCTCTCATATGGCTTGGTGTTTGTTTAAAATGAATTGGGTTTTTGAGAGAAAACTTTTAGCTATTGAACACTCAAATTTCTAAATAGTATGAAGTCTCAGGTGTTTCACTAAACTAGATTTTTCTGAAAACTGTTTTAGACAATCTGAACACTGATATGGTTTCTCTCCAGTATGAATTCTCATGTGTTTTATCAAATTAGATTTATTTGAAAATTCTTTCAAACACTCTGAACACTGATGTGGTTTCTCTCCAGTATGAATTCTCATGTGTTGTACTAAACTTGATTTTCTTGAAAACTCTCTTTGACACTCTGAACACTGATATGGTTTCTCTCCAGTATGAATTCTCATGTGTTTTGCTAAACTAAATTTATCTGAAAATTCTTTTAGACACTCTGAACATTGATGTGGTTTCTCTCCAGTATGACCTCTCATGTGCTGAACTAAAGTAGATTTTTCTGAAAATTCTTTTATACACTCTGAACACTGATATGGTTTCTCTCCAGTATGAATTCTCATGTGTTGTACTAAATTAGATTTATATGAAAACTCTTTAAAGCACTCTGAACAATGATATGGCTTCTCTCCAGTATGAATTCTCATGTGTTGTACTAAACTAGATTTATATGAAAACTTTTTTAGACACTCTGAACATTGATGTGGTTTCTCTCCAGTATGAATTCTCATGTGCTGCACTAAATAACATTTATATGAAAACTCTTTTAGACACACTGAACATTGATGTTGTATCTCTCCAGTATGAATTCTCATGTGGTTTACTAAATGAGGTTTTTGAGAAAACTCTTTTAAACACTCTGAACACTGATATGGTTTCTCCCCAGTATGAATTCTCATGTGTTGTACTAAATTAGATTTACTGGTAAAGTCTTTCAGACATTCTAAACATTGATGTGGTTTCTCTCCAGTATGAATCCTCATGTGTTCAACTAAATGACATTTTCTGGTAAACTCTTTCAGACATTGTGAACATTGATGTGGTTTCTCTCCAGTATGAATTCTCAAGTGTCTCGTTAAACATTTTTTTTTAGAAAATTTTTTCAAACACATTAAACACTGAACAGTTTTTTTGTCTTCATTAACTGTTATTAATGATACACAGAGAGCATTTTGTGAGGAATGTGAAAATTGATATAGTTTGTCTTCTGCATCAACTGTAATGTGTGTTGCAGGAACACATTCTTTTTCAAGTATTTTAGACATAGCGAACAATAACTTTACACTTTCACTATCAGGACCCCAAAATTAAATGCTAACAGTGTCAGGATTTTTCCATGAAAAAAAAAAAAAAAAACTTTTTTCTTCAGAAAAGGTGGAGAATCTACTGAGAATGTACTGACACCAAAAACACAAAATACATGTATGACGCAAACTTATGGAATTACAGAGGCACAAAGTTGGTAATCTGAGCACAATTTATGCACTAGTAGTTTCATTCACTTTGAGTCCTATATTATTGCTCCTATTGAACAAATTTTAGATTTCTTGCTCTAGCACAAATCCACAAAAGTAATTTTATTAATTTTACACAAAATTCAACAAATTCTAATTTGAAAACAATAAAAAATAAACAGAGTATTTATTTATTTATTATTTATTTATTATTTATTTATAATGTGTTCATTAATCACATCCCCAGGCCTCTAGTATATTACACCTTCACTTTATCTTGAATCCATCATCACACACAATTATTTCTCAGGTAACAAAAAAAAAACAGGATTGATTGTCATGGTTTAGGGCATTCCAACAATTGAAGCAAATTTAGTAAAAACCCATAAAAAAGATGAGGTGGGAAGAGGAGGCCTTTCCCTCTTTTAAGAAAATTGTTAAAATTTCAATATTTCAAATACTTTTGGTCCTGAAATCTACCAAATTATTCATTTTAATACTATGACATTCATTTAATCAATTGATACCAAGAAAAACCCATAAAAAGCATGCTAGAAAACACTCCATAGTTATTTTAAATCAAACACAAGGTCAGAGGTTTGTTCTCATCATGGAGTAAAATTTGTTTTATGATGTCACTCACTGCACAGACCCATTCTCACATGTGTACACCAAAATTTACTACTGACAGCATATTTGAGGATGGTGTGCTTAAGACATAAATCTATATGTGAGGATGGTGTGCTTAAGACATAGTTCTAAATGGGAGGATGGTGTGTTAAAACACAGATCTACACGAGTGACACTTGGGTCAATAACATAGATCTACACGAGAGACACTGGGATCAATAATGAATATCTACATGAGTGATACTAGGGTGAATAACACAGATCTATATGACTGACACTGGGGTCAATAACACAGATCTACAAGAGTGATCTACAAGAGTAATGTAGATCTATATAAGATACAGTAAAAGGCCTGATTATTTTATAAATAAATTATAAAGTGCTTAACCAGATACAATTTTGTGGTCACTTCATTACACTCAAAACAATATTTCTCTAATACTCTATTATTACATAAACATGGTCAAGCTTGAGGAATAAGATGGGTGTTTACAATAATGGGAGGATATCTCCAATTCCTTGGATCAAACAAGCAGTTCACCACCTACCTTGAAGGCTTATCTAATACTGTTCATGAATTTCAATGTTTCTTGATAAAGTTGTCACAACACTTTTGTAACAACAAAAATTGTGAAAAATTTATAATACAATCAGAGATAATGTGTGTAACACAATGTTGTGTGTGAAACAATGTTAACACAATGTTGTGTGTGAAACAATGTTGTAACACAATGTTGTAACACAGTGTTGTAACACAATGTTGTCTGTAACACAATGTTGTCTGTAACACAATGTTGTGTCTAACACAATGTTGGCAACACAATGTTGTCAACACAATGTTGTGTGTAACACAATGATGAGTGTTAACACAGTAGGATGTTAAAATGATGTTTAACAATATTACTTCACAGCAACTTCATAACACTGATGTTTACACTGTAAATGTTATGTAAATGTTATATTTCAAACGCTAGTAACATAGTGTTGTCACTATATATTTCTAAAACTGTAGTAACTGTGTTGTCACTATATATTTCTAACACTGTGGTAACACAGTGTTATCACTAAATATTTCAGTACGTATTTGACAATATCAGGAGACTTATTATACTGAAAATTAACACAACAACTAATTCCTCTGGTACCAGGATGACCAGCAGTATTGGTACTACAAGTACCAACCTCTGCTACCAGGATGACCAGCAGTATTGGTACTACAAGTACCAACCTCTGCTACCAGGATGACCAGCAGTATTGGTATTACAAGTACCAACCTCTGCTACCAGGATAACCAGCAGTATTGGTACTACAAGTACCAACCTCTGCTACCAGGATGACCAGCAGTATTGGTACTACAAGTACCAACCTCTGCTACCAGGATGACCAGCAGTATTGGTACTACAAGTACCAACCTTTGCTACTGGGATGACCTGCAAAAAAAAAAAAAAAATTAAACATTGTAATACTCTGTTAAACTTTTGTTTCAAGAATATTAAAAATAATTATGTTGAATATAAATATCTGATGTAATACCTGTTGTATTATTATAATATTTGTGGCATAATTATTATTATAATCAAACTAAGCAGTAAACCCACAAGGGTGATAGAGCATTTCAGGGCAGGATGTGTGAAGGGTTTACAATACACTGGAACCTCGGCTTACGAATTTAATCTGTTCCATGACCTCGTACGTATCTCGATTTGTTCGTATGCCGAGTCAAATTTCCTCATTTAAATTAAATGAAATGGCATTAACCCTTTCAGGGTTGACAGGCCCTCTCAAAGACTTGTTCTCAGGGTCAGCCAAATTTCAAAAAAGAAAAAAATTTTTTTTTTTTTATGAAAAGTTAAAGAATCTTTTCCTGATCATAATGACACCAAAAGTATGAAATTTGATGGAAAACTTACAGAATTATGCTCTTGCAAAGTTAGCGCCCTTGACGATGTTTACGCATCGGTGATTTTGCCCACTTTGAGCCCTATTTTCAGCCAATTCCAGTCTACTTGTCAACAAGAATCATAACTATTTTGCTAGAACTCCATTTTTTCTATCGAATGAGTACAAGAAACCACCCATTTACCAATTTCAACTATCCAATACAGTGGTCAGAATTTATCAATTTTGCCAATTTCACACAAATTTCAAAAGATGCCAATTTCCGAATAGGGTCCAGAATTAACAAGAAAGACATTCCTGGCACTAAAATAACATTTCCTCTGTTCATTAGTCACGTCCCCATGCCCCTCTTACATTCTTTTGCTTTCCACTTTGAATTTTTATTCCCACAAAAAGTAGATGATTTACTGTTATGCAGACTACTGCATTGGTATGGAAATGGTATTAATATTATCAGCGCACTTGTGAAAGAATATTAGACTCACCAGTTGATGTGTATTGGATGCATAGCATGATTCGTTTACTTTTGAACTTTGGTAAAAATCGAACATTTCTGCTACTTTGAGCCCAATTTCAAGGTACTTTTCTTTGTAAAACCAGTCAAAATCATCTCAATTTTTTTCTATAAAATGAGACCAGGAAAACTAGAATACAACAATAAATACCATATGAAAATACAGTGCAGTCACTGTTTTAATCCAAAAACACGGTCAAAGTTTTTTTTTTCTCATTACGCATTGTGTGCTGCAGGATTTTTTTTATACTGTGCACACTGACCACATAGACCCATTCTTTCATATGTAGGCCTACCAGCTTTCTCTCACTAGATTTGAGGGTGCTAGAATTTAGGCGTACTAGTACGTCAAAAACTCTGGTGCGTAAGCTGTACTAGTACAGCCAAAACCCTGAAAGGGTTAATCCATTACAGTGGAATTCCTGCTCTTAGGAGGCATGACAAATTACTTCAATATGATGCTAATATCAACTCTACAGCTTATTTATATAAGAACATAAGAAAGGAGGAACACTGCAGCAGGCCTGTTGGCCCATACTAGGCAGGTCCTTTACAATCCATCCCACTAACAAAACATTTGCCCAACCCAATTTTCAATGCCACCCAAGAAATAAGCTCTAATAACTCTATCCACTCTCATATGCAAGTCCCACTCAAATCCAACCCCTATCAGTCATGTATTTATCCAACCTAAATTTGAAACAACCCAAGGTTTTAGCCTCAATAACTCAACTAGGTAGACTGTTCCACTCATCAACTACCCTATTTCCAAACCAATACTTTCCTACATCCTTTCGAAATCTAAACTAGTCTAATTTGAATCCATTACTGCGGGTTCTCTCTTGGAGAGATATCCTCAAGATCTTATTTATATCCCCTTTATTAATACCTATTTTCCACTTATACACTTCGATCATGTCTCCCTTCATTCTTCATCTAACAAGTGAATGTAATTTGAAGGTCTTCAATCTTTCTTCATATGAAAGATTTCTAATGCTATGTATTAATTTAGTCATTCTACGCTGAATGTTTTCTAATGAATTTATGTCCATTCTGTAATATGGAGACCAGAACTGAGCTGCATAGTCTAGGTGAGGCCTTACTAATGATGTATAAAGCTGTAATATAACCGCTGAACTTCTGCTGCTTACACTTCTTGGTATAAATCCCAGTAATATGTTTGCCTTATTACATAAGCTTAGGCACTGCTGTCTTGGTTTAAGGTTGCTGATTATCATAACCCCCAAGTCCTTTTTGCAATCTGTATGGCTAAGTTCTGCATTATTTAACTTATAAGTGCTAGGTTGTGGACACTCCCTAGCCTCAGAACCTTGCATTAATCTACAATGAATGGCATCTGCCACTTTTCTGACCAGTTATTGAGTTGGTCTAAATTCTCCTGAAGTTCCCTGACATTTATGTTTAAATCAATTATCCTACCTATCTTTGTGCCATCGGAGAATTTGCTCATATCACTAGTAATACCCTCATCAAGATCATTGATATATATTATAAACAACAACAGGCCTAAGACTGATCCCTGTGGTACGCCACTTGTTACAGATTCCCACTCGGATTTAACCCTATTTATAGACACTCTCTGCTTCCTCTCTGTGAGCCATGACTCTATCCATGACCACTTTTTCCCCAATGCCATGAGCTGCCACTTTCTTTAACAGTCTTTGGTGTGGTACTCTATCGAAAGCCTTACTAAAATCTAAATAAACAATATCAAATTCTTTGTTGTGACCAACAGCCTCAAAAGCTTTACTGAAGAAAGTTAGTAAATTAGTTACACAAGAACGGCCTCTCGTGAATCCATGCTGAGTATCATTAATCAGATTATGCTTATCCAGATGGCTTCTCATAATCTCAGCTATAACTGACTCTAGTAATTTGCCTACAATTGAGGTTAGGCTTATTGGGCGGCAATTTGAAGGTAACGACTTGTCCCCTGCTTTAAAAATAGGAATTACATTAGCCATCTTCCACATATCAGACACTACACCTGTTTGAAGAGTTAAATTAAAAATATTAGTTAACGGTTCACAAAGTTCCATTTTGCATTCCTTAAGAACCCTTGAAAAGAAGCTCATCAGGACCCAGTGATTTATTTTGTTTCAGACGGTCTATTTGTGTCATAACCATTTCACTAGTGACTGTGATGTTACATAATTTATCTTCTTCAGGTCCACTATAAAAATTAATTACTGGGATATTGTAAGTGTCTTCCTGTGTAAAAACCGAGAGAAAATAATTATTTAAAATTGAGCACATTTCATTCTCTTTGTCAGTAAGATGCCCCAAATTATTTTTAAGGGGACCTATCTTATCCCTAACTTTTGTTCTATACACCTGGAAAAAACTTTTTGCCTTAGTTTTCAAATCCCTAGCAACTTTAATTTCATACTCCGTTTAGCTTTTCTTATCCCCTTTTTAACGTCCCTTTTTATGTCAATTAAAAGGGACCTCTTTTGATACTTCTAAAAATTCCTATCTTCTGCCCTAAAAGATATTTGAGCCTATTATTCATCCATTTTGGGTTAATTCTATTCGATCTAATTTCCTTATATGGAATAAATGTTCTTTGGGCAGCATGTATTGTGTTAAGAAAGCTGTCATACTGATAGCTCTCTTTGTTACCCCAGTCCACAGATGATAAGTGTTCTCTAAGCCCATTGTAATCTGCTAAGCGAAAATCTGGAACCATTACTGAATTATTCCTACTGTCATACTTCCACTCAATGCTAAAGGTAATTGATTTGTGATCGCCTGTGCCGAGTTCCTCTGTAATTTCTAAATTATTAACAAGGGTTTCCTTGTTTGCCAGAACTAAGTCAAACAGGTTATTTCTCCTTGTAGGCTGTCACAAATTGCCTCAAAAAAAAATCCTGAACTACTTCTAAGAAGTCGTTAAATTCTAAATTCCCAGTCAAGAAATTCCAATCAATATGACTAAAGTTCAAGTCTCCTAGGATTACTACATTATCATGCCTTGTGGCCTTAACAATTTCCTCCCATAGTAGTCTCCCTTGGTCCCTATCTAAGTTTGGGGGATGGTATATCACTCGTAAAATCAATTTTTCATGCTCCTCTGAAAATTCTATCCAAACACTCTTTATGTGTTACTTCAGGCTTAATACCCGTTTTTATGCAACAGTTCAAGCGATCTTGGACAAACAATGCCACCCCACCCCCCCCTCTCGATACTTCTATCTACTTGGAACAATTTAAAACCCTGAATGTGACATTCTGCAGGTATGTCCCGACTTTCTGAATTAAACCATGTCTCAGTTATGGCAAATACATCAATGTTACCTGCACTAGCAACTAATCTCAACTCATCCATCTTATTCCTAGCACTACAGCTATTAGCATAATATACATTGAAAGACCCTCCTTTCTCTTTACCCTTCCTGCTCATTTCTGTTTTTCTACTAAACCTATTACTGTCCTTGTCACCTAGTGCCACTGGCTTTCCAATATCTACCTTGTTCTGCTTATTACTAGTTACCCTAGAACTCATAATATTACTACACTGGGACTTCACTGTTTCCCGCCAAAACCCATACCACTAACTACACCTACCATCTGACTTATGACCTGCTCGACATACGACCACTCGACTTATGACCGTGTTTTTTATGCCAAATTTCTGGGAAATAAACAACTGTTTGTGTTGTACACAGTGTTTATCCTAAACCTTACAGTATAAAATACAGTACTAACAGCATAAAAAGTAAAGTAAAAAAATGAAGTACCAAAATAAAACAATAAAATAAAGTCATTACAAAAATGTGATGTTGATATTCAGTAGTAAAGTTTGACTTACATCCATTTTGACTTACGACCAGTTGGTCAGAACCAAGCTCGGTCGTAAGTCGGATGGTAGGTGTATTCCAAGTTTAAAGTCCTAACAGCTCCCTCCACTGCAGTTGCCAGTGCCCCTACCCCAAACCTAGATAAGTGAACCCCATCCCTGGCATACATGTCATTTCTGCCATAGAAGAGGTCCCAGTTGTCAATGAATGTTACCGCATTTTCCTTACAGTATTTGTCCAGCCAGCAATTGACACCAATTGCCCTGGACAACCATTCATTTCCAAATCCTCTCCTTGGCAAAATACCACATATGACAGGGTTCCCACCCTTCTTCCTAATTATTTCTATTGCTGACCTATACCTGCTAATCAGGTCCTCGCTCCTATTTCTGCCAACATCGTTGGCTCCCGCACTGAGGCAGATAACAGGATTGCTCCCGTTACCTTTCATGATGTCGTCCAGACGGTTAACAATACCTCCCATCCCAGCCCCAGGAAAACATACCCTCTGCCTCCTCTTCCTGTCCCTAAGACAAAACGCCCTATCTATAAACTTAACCTGACTGTCTCTAACTAAAACAATGTTCTTACCTTCACTTGTGGAATTCGTTGTGATGGTCTCGATGGTCTTTGTTGGGGTTTCTGGGGATGTTTCACCCACGTCTGCCAATGCTTCCTTGGTGCTCGTTGTGATGCTCCCAATAGACAACCCACATTCGTCAGGTAGCACCGAAAATGGATTGGAAGTTTCCACAGTAGTCTTCTGGTTCTTTGTTGTTTTTGCCTCTCTATCAGTCTTCTTGATCCTCAACTTGGTTCCATGTTGTGCAGCCACTGACCAGGTTCCTCTCTTAACGAGAGGACTCACAACAGGATTACTACGAATCCTCTTGTTCTCCTCCATTACTCGCTGTATCTCCAGCTTAGCAACCCTAAGCTCCTCTTTTAGCTGCTGGTAGAGTTGCTCAAGAGAGGGCATCCTGGTTCATATCACAATTCAACTAATTTCACCATCACTCAAGAAATGCACAACAGGTGCATCATGGTCAGTGTTCAGCATTTCTTTGATGTCAGCTTCCTGTAACTCTATTAACACACAGTTGAGATGAGTAAATAGAATTGTCAACTCTTATTGCTTGGGTATGTTTATTCTGTTAGTGGGTTGGATCTGTGAAGGACCTGCACAGTATGGGCCAACAGGCCTACTGCAGTGTTTTATTATTAGTAGTACATATGTATAATAATTATTATTATTATTATTAATTTAGGGAAGTGGAGCACAGATCCAATTCCCTTGATCAAGAGTCCCACACCAAGGAACCTCCCTTGAGGGGGAAGTTTGCATCCTGAAATTTCGTTCGTATCCAGAAGCAAAAAATTGATCGAGTGTTCGTATCCCGAAAAATTCGCATGGTGGGGCATTCGTAAGCCAAGGTTCCACTGTACTTGATCTGAGACTAGAAAGGGTGGAAAGTATAACAGAGGTAGAGTTAATAAGGGCAGTATTGAGTGATAAAAGAAATACCTTCAAAGTTTGTGTAATAAATCTGCTGCTGTGAAAAAGTCAAAGATAGAGTTTGTATCAAAGGTTGGGCCATCAGTGAGGAGGGAAGATAATGTAAGGGTCTTAGAGCAGTGACCAATGACACTTCTTACAGAATGCAACTGGTGTAATATAGTAACCCCCCTAACTGATTAAACTGGTCACATGTGATGCATAAATTTTGGTGATGAGCTCCAGAAATTAACATTATCATTATTATTAATTATGACACACAACCATTTACCTAGGATAACTACCTAATACAACTGCCTGCTACTACTTTGAAGAAAACTGCTCAAACGAGGTGTTTTGTCTGTACACATACAAAAAAAAAAAAAAACATAAAAATGCAGAGACACTCATTTTGTGTGTGAGGAGTGTAAAAACGATTATGTATGAAACCATGTTTCAAAGAGTTCCACAAGCTGCAGAACTTCTAGGAACATGTCCAGTGACTGTACATTTGTATATACAGTGGAACCTCAGCTTACGAATTTAATCCGTTCCGTGACCTTACTCATATCTTGATTTGTTCATATACTGAGTCAATTTTCCTCATTTAAATTAATTGAAATGCAATTAATCCACTCTAACCTCCCAGGAGGCATGACAAAATAATGCTAATATCAACTCTATGGCTTAGTTTTCTATCACAATTCATCTAATATGACATAATAAACAATAATAAAATAGAAACATGATATACACTCTAGAATGAATAAAATAGGCCATAATATGGCAAGCGATGGTGACGCCGGCAGTGACAGAAAGCATCTGCCATTTACTCTCCCACTCTAGTATCTTCCCAGTCCATAACCCCACACCTAGCTTGTGTTTATCTATGATTAGTGGTGAGGTTGTCACATATATAACCACAGGTGTGGTCAAGACAGATGTGTACAAGTACCATCCAACTTACGACCGAGTTCGGTTCCGAGAAACCGGTCGTAAGTCGAAATGGACGTAAGTCGAACTGTACTACTGAATATTAACATCATATTTTTGTAAAGACTTTATTTTATTGTTTTATTTTGGTATTTCATGTTTTACTTTACTTTTTATGCTATTAGTACTGTATTTTATACTGTAAGGTTTAGGATAAACAGTGTGTACAGCACAAACAGTTGTTTATTTCCCAGAAATCTGGCATAGAAAACAAGGTCGTAAGTCAAATGGTCATAAGTCGAGCAGGTCGTAAGTCGGATGGTAGGTGTATATAGGTGAAGACATGATCACTGTAGCCACAGTGGTGGTGGTGGTTGCGGTGGCAGCCAGCTGCCTCAGCTTATGCTGCTGCCTTCATTTCTCTAGCTTTTGTCATAGCTTCTAATTGCGTCCTCAAAGTAGCAGAAATGTTCGATTTTTACCCGATTTTTACCAAAGTTCAAAAGTAAACAAATCATGCTAAGCGTCAATACACGTCTACTGGTGAGACTAATATTCTTTCACAGGTGTGCCGATATTATTTATACCATTTCTACACTAATGCAGTAGTCTGCATAACAGTAAATCTTCTATTTGTAGTGAGAATAAAAATTCAAAATGGAAAGCAAAAGAATGGGGACGTGACTAATGAACAGAGGAAATGTTATTTTAGTGCCAGGAATGTCTTTCTTGTTTATTCTGGACCCTATTTGGAAATTGGCATCTTTTGAAATTTGTGTGAAATTGGCAAAATTGCTAAATTCTGACCACTGTATTGGATAGTTGAAATCGGTAAATGGGTGGTTTCTTGTACTCATTCGATAGAAAAAATGGAGTTCTAGCTAAATAGCTATACAGTGGACCCTCGCCTAACGAACGCATCACATAATATTAAATCCGGCTAGTGACACACTTTAACGCAAAAATTTTGCCTCGGCTAATGCTAAAAAACTCGCCCAATGCGGTTCGTTCCGTTCGAGACGTGTCCATTTGCGGCCTGAGTATGCCTCACTTGCCCCATGGGTGCCAGTGTTTACAAGCCAGCCACCACAGTCGCATCCAAACATACAATCGGAACACTTCATATTATCACAGCATTTTTAGTGATTGCACCTGCAAAATAAGTCACCATGGACCCCAAGAGAGCTTCTAGTGCCAACCCTACAGCAAAAAGGGTGAGAATTACTATGGATATGAAGAAAGAGATTATTGCTAAGAATGAAAGTGGAGTGCGTGTCTCCGAGCTGGCCAGGTTGTACACAAAACCCCAATCAACCATCGCTACTATTGTGGCCAAGAAAACGGCCTCAATAGTTTTCGAAACAGAGATCGCAAGTGATAGAAGATGTTGAGAGATTGTTATTGGTGTGGATAAACGATAAACAGATAGCACTAGATAGCATCTCTCAAGCGATCATATGTGAAAAGGCTAGGAAGTTGCATGATGATTTAATTAGAAAAATGCCTGCAACTAGTGGTGATGTGAGTGAATTTAAGGCCAGCAAAGGTTGGTTTGAGAGATTTAAGAATCATAATGGCATACATAGTGTGAAAAGGCATGGTGAGGCTGCCAGTTCGGACCAAAAAGCAGCTGAAAAATGTGAAGGAATTCAAGGAGTACATAGACAGTGAAGAATTGAAACCTGAACAAGTGTTCAATTGTGACGAAACAGGCCTATTTTGGAAGAAAATGCCAAGCAGGACCTACATTACTCAGGAGGAAAAGGCACTCCCAGGACTAAAGCCTATGAAAGACAGGCTTACTCTGTTGATGTGTGCTAATGCTAGTGGTGATTGCAAAGTGAAGCCTTTATTGATGTATCACTCTAAAACTCCCAGAGTGTTCAGGAAAAACAATGTCTTCAAGGCTAATTTGTGTGTGATGTGGAGGGCAAACAGTAAAGGCATGGGTCACTAGAGACCTTTTCTATGACTGGTTACACCATGCATTTGCCCCCACTGTGAAAAATTACCCCCTGCTAAATAAATTGGACCTTAAGTGCCTCCTGGTATTAGACAATGCTCCTGGTCATCCTTCAGACATGGCAGAGCGACTTTCTGGGGACATGAGCTTCATTGAGGTCAAGTTTTTGCCTCCTAATACCACTCCTCTCCTGCAGCCCATGGACCAGCAGGTCATTGCAAACTTCAAAAAACCCTACACAAAAGCTATGTTTGAAAGGTGCTTTGTAGTGACCACAGAAACTCAATTGACTCTAAGAGAGTTTTTTAGAGATCACTTTAGCATTCTCAATTGTGTAAACATTATAGGTAAGGCTTGGGAGGAAGTGACTAAGAGGACCTTGAACTCTGCTTGGAAGAAACTGTGGCCAGAATGTGTAAACAAAAGGGATTTTGAAGGATTTGAGGCTAACCCTGAGAAGCCTATGCCAGTTGTGGAATCAATTGTGGCATTGGGGAAGTCCTTGGGGTTGGAGGTTAGTGGGGAGGATGTAGAAGAGTTGGTGGAGGACAATGATGAACTAACCACTGATGAGCTGCAAGATCATCTTCAACAGCAAGAGGCCAGACCTGAGGAAACTGCTCCGGAGGAGGGGATAGAGAAATTGAGGAAGTTGCCTACTTCAAAGATTAAGGAAATGTGTGTAATGTGGCTTAAAGTGCAAACCTTTTTTGATGAAAATCACCCTCACACAGCTATTGCAAGCTGTACTGGTGACTATTACACAGACAAAGTTGTGAAACACTTTAGGAATGTCATAAAGGAACGGGAGGTACAGGCCTCTATTGACAGATATGTTGTGTGACAGAGGTCCAGTGACTCTCAAGCTGGTCCTAGTGGCATTAAAAGAAGAAGGGAAGTAAGCCTGAAAAAAGGACTTGACATCTCAAGTCCTAATGGAAGGGGATTCCCCTTCTAAACATTAACACCATCCACACTCTCCCCTCCTCCCATCCCATCAATCATCACCAGATCTTCAATAAAGGTAAGTGTCATGTAACTGTACATGTCTTCATCAGTTTGTGTGTATTAAAATTGCTTCATGTGGGAAATTTTTTTTTTCATGCTTTGGGGTGTCAGGAACGGATTAATTTGATTTCCATTATTTCTTATGGGGAAAATTAATTTGGCTAACAATAATTTCGCCTAATGTTGAGCTCTCAGGAACGGATTAATATCGTTAGGTGAGGATCCACTGTAATTTTTGTTGACTAGTACACTGGAATTGGTCGAAAATAGGGCTCAAAGTGGGCAAAATCGCCGATGCATAAACATCGTTGAGACCGCTAACTTCGCGAGAGCATAATTCCTTAAGTTTTCCATCAAATTTCATACTTTTGGTGTCATTATGATCGAGAAAAGATTCTCTATCTTTTCATAAGAAAAAATAATTTTTTTTATTTTTGAAATTTGGGGGACCCTGAGAACAAGTCTCTGAGAGGGCCTTTGGACCCTGAAAGGGTAAACCCTTGGTTAGCACTGAGATAGCTATGATCTAGCAGTAGCTACAGCCACCCAGAGGGTTACCAATTTGTATTTTGAAGCATTTGGCACAAAAATATGAAAAAAACAATTATGAGAAATGTCTAAAAATGACAACATATTATTATTACTATTATATTGTATTATTATTATTAAAATAATTATTATTATTCT